TACGTTGTGATCGGTAGATGAAAACATGGATCGTAATTCGGCAATATTATATCGCAGGATTACCTGACTGATGTTGCAGTACTGATAAACAGGCACTCGAATACGGAGACAGTGTAGATATTGGCACGTTTACGTACAACGAAGTATGCTTCGAACTACCTATTTCGACCTTCGTTACGATTTCGATAGTTAGGTGCTCCTCGTCAAATGCTTTAATGAAGATTTCTTTCTTATGCTTAAGTTGCAAAGAAACTAATCCTGAAAGTAAATGGCAACTAAAAGCCTTGGGCCTTCATACAATCTGAAGATGTAGATTTCAGTAAAGACAGCATTTTCTGAAGACAATTGCGAAATGTCTTCCGCAATCACCTGTTGCTCGATAATGCGGCCAGGGAATGAGGCTTAAATGTTAAATTGAAATTACCTTACGAGGCGACTATGAATAACAACAAAATTACATGCAGCGAACGCGAATATCTTAACTACTATGTTATTTGTGTTTTCTTTTTGCTTTTATCTCTGCTGACTTAAGCAGGCTGTCTTTGTGGTCCGAGGTTGACTTCCCTAGCCACGGAAGACTCATGCTTTAAATTTGTTTTAGTCCCGTCGTTATCCCTATTCAGCGTCTATCGTAATTTCAATTACTTGCCTTTTTACTACTAAACTTACATACGACAAACGGAAATTGAAGGACTATACGACATTTTTGACGTCAGTAAATTATGTTTTCACTGAGGCTCACGTGTTCTTTAGATGTATCTAATTAAGACTTAATTATCTCCACAATATGCGCTTCCCGTCAACCTTTTGCCTACTCCGCCATTGATTTTTAATGTTTTCTCTGACTAATTCACAATTTTCTTCGCTTTGCTGGGATGAGACTGTTCGACGCAAATGGCATATATATATAATATACTTCATTCCCAACTTTAAAAAAACCTACGAGAACTAGACTACGCGTATTTTTGCCAGCACATTCAATGTCTTTAGTTTATTTTTAATGACAAAGTATGCCCTTAGTTTAAAAAACAATTTTCAGGGAGACGAAGCTTTATAAGACAGTGAAGTAGGAAATTTGCGTCATTTAAAATTTTATGAAGATGTATAAAATATATGCTACTTTAATACCATTTCGTTTTCAGTGAAATTGAAACGGGACTACATAGGGCGCCACTTGTAAATTGATATTCTGCAGTTTATGTTATTAAACGGGTTTATCGGGTTTTCGGATCTTAAGTAACCTCTTCCATTATAGCAGGCATATTTAAAAGTGCCGACTCATGTTTAATGAACTTCGTAGTCTATAGCACTTAACTGCTGGTGTTCCTTTTGTATGTTAAAGTGCTCAATAGTATCTCTAAGGTACATCGTTGAACAGACTTCCAAGGGTGCGTTGTTGTACGCATTAACCTTTTCTGTCAAAATTATCCTCAGTACTTATCGCCTTTTTGGAGAACGCCTGGCTCAACGGACTCCATATAGAGTGTAGTTAACCTTTCCATACGTTTTCCTCAAACTACTCTGTTTTGGGTGGGCTTTAGGTGGGTGCATCTGATAAATTTCTGTATAACTAGAAATTAATCCATAGTTTTTTTATACAGTCAAATGTCTTACCTAATAAGTCATCTTTGATTACCGGAAGTTGAGTTGTGGCAAAATTTTAATTTTTTCCTGTACCTGATCATCATAAAGTCTCTCAGACTACTTCTGTGAGTCTAAAACCCCGTTGCTATCTTCGATAAGACACCCAAAAGCACTTTTCGGGTATACTTACAGCCGAGTCACCAAAGGTTATATTTGTTTCCTTCATTACCTACCCTCTACATTTTAGATGCCCTTTTCCCACTTCACAGAGGAGTTCTTTGAGCTGTGCCGTTACAGCTTGGTTAGTGCTGAACGATCACCCTACCGGGAGCGAACGGTTGACTTCATTGTCCGCTTTGTGATGCAGGCTAGCAAAAATTCGGACTCAGCTTTCGACGAAAATTCCACAAAGAACCAGTTACTCATCAAGACATTCTTGTTTTGTGCCAAGGTAACCACACTCTCATCTCGCCTTTACTCCTGCCAGAAGAGTAAGCTTCATTGTTCGTTTTTGTAGAGGGTTATGCACTTTTTAGGTCTAAATACGTCGCCAGAGCACTGAAACCCTCAGTTGTTAATGACGACTGGAAAACAAACAGTTGTTGCAACCACCCATTCGTCTGACAACGAAGCGGGTAACTGATCTCCAAACTGTACACAAAAATCTTTAGTACTCAAGGGACTTGCCTCATTCCGAGTAATTTTTTGATTCGTGGTAGGCTCAAGCGCGTAGGATTTATAATAGTGCAAAATTCACTTATGTGCCCTGAAGGATGGATTCCCCGGTGTTGAACTGTTCCTCTTAGCCCCCGTCGGTGCTCGGTCACCAACCTGTAATAAGATTGGTCGCGGTGGCAGCCCGAGCTAGATTATCCGTCTCCACCTGCACACCCGATCTGATTTCCATATCAGCTATTAGAATATATCAAGGGGCATATCCTCCACTTCAATGAAGTTTACATGTTTCCGCCTACAAAGCTTCGCCTGCCCTAGTGGATCGCATGCATGCTATGAGGGTGATGTGTGATGGGTTGAGGGAAGATGTCGTGTATGTGCGTATTGTGGAGCAGGTTCATGTGTAGCCCAAGGGTGTGTTCATAGGTAAAGCGAGTTGTGATGGGGCCTAAACTTCGCTGTCTTGCTGAAGATGTTAATGAATACGTATATAACTGAATGAGCCTACGCGATCATCAAATATTATGGGGCGGTTTGTGCTGATGAGGGAGGGACGAGTCTATGCCAGGTCTCCTAGCACTGGGTAGCCAGTCTTTGTGCGATAGGTTCGCAAATGACCAGTCGGACCCACATTGGAACTGTGTCTATAGAGATGCTGCTAGTGGCAACGGTATTGCATTGTGTGGAGGCTGTAGTTATTGCCTAATTACTTTCTTCAAGTGCCCACCTTTTTCTGATCCCACTCAGGGATGAAGTTCTACCAAAACTTTTCCGAAACGCTTCATCCGTTTCGACTGCCGGTTTCCAGTCTCCATATAATAGTTGGCTTATTCCATTATACAGAATACTACGTTGGTTAGCACCTTTCCAGTCACATGTGATCGGGTCGCAAAAACAGACCGAAATATTTCGTATGTGAGAATCCTATTGTAATCTATTTTAACGTAATCAGGACACATTTGCGTCGAATGGACCGTCTATAGTATTACTGATAAAACGCATACACTTAAACTTCCTTCCACTATGTCCACATCTTAGCAGTAATACCTTGTTTTTT